ATCGTTAATGTTACATATAAATTTCTTAAGAAAAAAGTAACAAAGTGACCTTTACCTATATGACAACTCTTTCAACTATAAACTAACTCGTTCCGGTTTACTAAATAAAAAGATTATACTCGTTTATTTTTTATTTTTTATTTTTTTTCCCATTAATATCTTTATAATATAAAAGAAACTTTGCTCAAAGTTATACAATTTTCTTAAGTGGCCGATCAATTTTTGTCCCGTTAATCCACAGGCAACTGTCAATTAAGTGATCATCACATAGAAGTTCTTAATGAAAAAACTGTAAAACTGACTTTCACTCAAATAATAACACTTTAAACTATTAGCCAATTCAGTTTGCCTCACTAAATAAAAAGTTTATTACGCATTTTTTTCTTATTTATTATTTAAATTTTTTTCCTGATAAATCGTTATAATATAAAAGAAACTTAACGTTAAGATTATTGTTCCTTTTTCTGTCTCAAATGATCATCATATCAATACGTAACTACGTAGTACTAACGCTAATGCTAACGCTATATAACAATAACAATAACGATCGCTAATACAATTATTATCGTTATCATTATTGTTAACGTTGATTCATTAATCGTTATCATCTTTTTATATTAATAACGAAACGTATCATAATTACGGTTTGTCATCGATATAATAATCCAAAATAGTAATGGAAGAAAAAAACAGCCAGTTCAACTCAGCGTGAAGCATCTTTTTTTTTAAACTTTAACGTTAATAGTGATAGAAATTATTTTGAGTACGTTAGTCCTAATGCTAATGAATATGATATCGATAACCCATCATTAGACAATGATAGTATAAGCTTCGTTAGTGAGAGCTTGGTGTCCGAGAGTACTATAATTGATGATAGTGATAGAGATTGTGAAATCGAAATGCAGCCATTTACCTGGGATAAAATAGGTTTTGAAAAAGCATATGCAATAGCCGACGCGAATGAATATGAAGAGTTTTCCTGGGAGAACGCAGAAATAGAAGATAAAAATATAGATTCAGCATCAATATTTGAGCAGGAATCAGAAGAATCAACTGAAGAAAGTACATATTTAATTGAAAATACTACTGGTCAAAATTTAACGTCTTGTGTTCTTTTAGATATGGTAGATGGTCATATACAATGTTGTTCAAAAAAAACAAAAAGACAAAGACCTTTAACTCAATTAATAGGAACATGGGAAATAGATAAGGAGACATTTTTAAAAGCAAAAGAGGAAAACAAAATAGATTCGCTTGGTGTTTGTTATGCTCATTTCATATTCGATCAAAAATCACTTCATCAATCACATATTAAAAAGGTACGAACTATCGAAAAAAGTTGGATTTATCATCGCCGTTGCTTATTTGCAATAAGTATAAACATTTTTTTATTCGAGGAAGGACATGTATTCAGCATTCGATGCAAGTAATAATCGTAATATACAAGTACCTTGTATTGGTTTAAAGACTTGTGCAGCTTTTTCTTCAGAAGAATCATCAAATATTTCTAATAACGAAAAATTAAATAGTTATCGACCACGTTATATATGTTCTGGATGTTTTAATTCAGAGGGAGGACATTTTTTTGAGAGAAATAAACGGGGAAACAAAGATCTATTTCATGTGAAGATAAACACAATGATGATACTACTAAAGCACTAGAACTCATAGGAAATTGGATTTTAAGTATTTCAAAATCAAAAGATCAGGAATATAAAAAAGAAATTTTAACGAATCTCAGTTCAATATTATCAACATTTGGTAACAGTAATAATAATAAAACAACTTTACCTAGTCTTTTATATATCAAAACAGCTTTAAAATTAAATCGAGTAGATATTGCTAAAGTTAAAAATACAACTTACAAGTTTACAACAGAATCCTCTACAAAAATTGGTGAGGTGTTAGGAATTGCAACATGACAGTCACGACATGAAATACGAAAAAATAAAAAAAACTTGAAGAACCAAGTTCTTTAGAGAATTATCAAAGTGGATTTCCTAATTGTTTGTCTGAATTTTTCAAGGGGCTAATTATTACAATATTAAAAAAAAATACGAAGTTGTGATTAAAAAAAGAAAACAAAGAAATCTTGAAATAAAAGACTTTGACATGACTCAAGCAAGCAAAATATCAATTTTTCTTATCTCAATCATATTAAATATTG